CTCCTCCTCCTCCTCCTCCTCCTCCTCCTTCTGTCTTTAAATTGCCAGCAACAATTCTGAGGTGAATTTGGAGACCCTTAATGCCAGGGCATAAACATCAATTCCCGAACAGCAATTTCTTTAAATTGATTTAAAGGAATTGCTGTTCAGAAATCGATGTCAGTGTTCAGTTCTCTGGAAATTCTAGCTGAAATAATAACAAGGGTGAAGGAATCTTGTATCAGAGATTGCCGAAAACCCTCATCATGCCCTATGCTCATATAGACATTAGGAATTGAGCTGGATTGGCTGAAATGTCTTTTTTTTAAAAAATTGGTTGACCAGAGTAAAAGCTTTTGAGCAGGAATGTCAGGGCGGAGAAAACATATGATTAATTCAAAATAAGAAAAGAATGAACAACCCTCACAAGCTCGCTTCCTGTAACCCAGTAAATATTTATCTCACAGAACAAAGAACAACAGAGTTGGAAGGAACCTGTGAGCTCATCTAGTCCAACCCCCTGCCTGAGCAGGAGACCCTATGCCATTATAGACAAATGGCTGTCCAGTCTCTTCTTAAATTTCTACAGTGATGGAGCAACCCACAATTTCTGAAGTCAAGCCATTCCACTGATTAACTGTTCTCACCATTAGGAAATTCCTTGTTAGTTCTAGATTGCTTCTGTCCTTGATTAGTTTCCATCCATTGCTTCTTGTCCTGCCTTCAGGTGCTTTGGAGAATAGCTGGATCCTCCCTCCCTCTTCGTGGCAGCTCCTCAAATATTGGAACACCCCTAAGATATTCATTGCTATCCATGTATAATAGTGATTCCCAGAAAGGCACCCGCATAAGAATTTGATATTTGGGAAATTTGTGAGCAGCACACAAAATTCTAATTAATTCTGACAAAGGTTTCCTGGGAGGTATTTCTCTTCTTTAACATTGGAAATATTATTTAACATTTAAAGTGCACAAAAGAATAATGTTCAGAAAATTTGGGAAGTTCATTATGGAGGAACACAAGGATAATTCCATCTGTCAGCATATTAAATTCTTTGTGGATTATTAGGTCTTCCAGGGGTTTTTAAAGTACCATAAGTAACTGTAGAAATGAATGTATCATCTACGTGCTGCTTTTAATAGTGCCAGAAGTAACCCTTTTTATTCTTAGTTTATATACACAAATACAGATGTTTCTACTGTATGTACAGAAAGGTTAATCTTATTAGTGTCATACATCTTAGCTTCTCTGCTTTGTGGAAATGCCAAATTTCACTTTAATTGTTGCCCAAGAAGGAAGGAACAATAGCTGTTATAGGGAACTGTCCCAGGTGCTGACAGGTCATCTGTTATTAACAAACTACTACTAACTCATCCATATCATTGCATACACTTTACTAATGCAAATAACATTGACTTGATCTTGTAAAAACAGACACAAAGTATTTTCCATAGATTCAGGATACATTTTACAGGGGAATGGTTATCTTTAATCCTGTAATCAGAACCCAAAATCCTACAAATACTAAAACCTGCAAATAATAAACAAAACAATTGAGTTAACAAAACTAGTTTAACCACTCCTGTTCTTTATGTAATTCTTTGACCACTCTAGACATTTTTTAAAGCTGTGGTTTACTAGATAATCGCTTTTCTTTTAAGTAGCCCTTTCTTCTGTGAAAGAACCCTGAGGCGATCAGATCTTTATGAATTGCCTCTTTAAAACTTACCAGGAAGATAGATGGCAAAGCAGTTCTTACATTTAAGATAAGGACATATCTGATAGGTGTAAGTAATTATTTACAAATAATCACCATGCTTATCAAATCTCGGTGTATCAGAAAACCCAGTGTTGTCCAGAACACACACAGAGAAATCACAACCCCTCCATCCAGCACATGTGATAATTAGGTGTCATGGTTTGGAAATCATTTTTGTTTTAATAGCACAACTGCAGCCTCTAAAAATGCAGAATATGTTACATCTCCTCCAAGCCCCCAAACAACAATAAAATGGCAAGCATGTGCTTATAGAAGGAAATTAAAACAGTACATTCTGATCGAGATTGATTCTCCTGGGGAATAGGAAAGGGGCCAGATAAAGTCAGAAATTTGTCTTCAGTGGGAAGAAAAATTGCTTGAAAATTCAGCCCCCTTGAAGCAGCATGTAATTTTGGTTAGGAGTACTTTGGGTTTATCAGATGGGCTCTTGGAGTTGAAATCTTGTTTCTTCTTCTTATTATTTTTTTGTGCCTTGTAGACAACAAAACTCTGGGTTTTGCTCTTTGTCACATTAGTAGCATATAATAAAGTGTTGGATAGCTGTTTGGGTTTTTTGATCCCCTCTCCCCCTCTTTTAATAGCCTCTTCCACTGAATTTTGCATGCCGTGACTCCTCAAAACAGAACTGAATTCAGAGCAAATACTAGTAGAATAAAATCCTTCTTTGTGAAGTCTCATTTTTGCTAGAGATGATGAGAGTGATTGTTCCACACATTTGGAAGGCCTCCCTGCCACCCAGCATAATAAATAGAGCCTGATTGTATGTTGGTCCATTTCAGAAGGAGCTATACTTTCTCTCAAGTGATAGCTCCCAAGGAAATGAGGGCCTTTGGTGCTCTCTGAGCTTGGCTGATATATTTTTTTTGCAGATATTTCATTACCCAAACTAGGTAACATCAAGCTAACAATACAAACAAGCTAACAGTAAACAATTCAACCAAAGAACCTCCAATACCACTCCCACCAACACTGACAAAGCCACTAGAACAGGGGTGTCAGACTTGTGGTCCGTGGGCTGGATGTATCACATGCTGACCACGTCCACCTCTGGTTTAGCGAAGGGGAAAAAAGTCACGATACATCACATGGTGACGTGATGCTGTGAGTTGGACACCTGTGCACTATAATATAAATTGAGAACTTAGACTTATATAATGGTTTAGAGTGCTTTACAGCCCTCTCTAAGCGGTTTTACAGAGTCGGCCTATTGTCCCCAACAATTTGGGTCCTCATTTTACCGACCTTGGAAGGATGGAAGGTTGAGTCAACGTTGAACCTGGTGAGATTCGAACTGCCAAATTGCAGTCAGTCAGCAGTCAGCAGAAGTAGCCTGCAGTACTGCACTCTAACCACCGTGGCTCAAACTGTCAGAGTTTGTTGCAAAAATTCAAATCCAGAAGCACACAAAGATAACTGATGCGGCAGGATTCATTAACTCCTTTATAGACCTGAGAATAGATGAATAGATGTACAATACCAACAGGTGGTTCTTCCAAGTAAACACAAGGCAGGAGAGCTACAGGCAAACACAAGCAGTTAGCTTCATTTCAGCAGACAAGCCCAGACAGATTGCTAGTTTACTTCTCAGAGCAGCAGACTGCTTAAGTTTCTGTTTCAAGTCTCTGCACAGACTCACATCAGTTTAAGCTCCCATTGGCTGGCTTAGATGCTATGCCTATTCATTGGCTGACCATGTCTCTCCCAGTCATGTATATTTTAACAAAAGCCACATTCCTTACTAGCACTGATGATGTCACCTAGTTTGGGTAATGAAACATCTGCAAGAAAACAAGCAAGCTTAGAGAGCACCGAGGACCCCCTTATTGCAATCATGAGCTAGAAACCTTCTCCTTTATGGGTCCAATGGAAGTCCCTGAGTGTTTTCCCTTAAACTCTTCTCTTAAGGGAGGCCCCCTTCTGATTCAACATTATAGCATGGAACATGAGCTTAAGCCATCATGAATGGTTGAACTAATGCCAGAATGTCATGGTATCCTAGATTCTGAAGGGAAAACATGCACTGCTGATGGTGCCACCAGAACAATGCTGAGTGACCCCTCATCCCCCCCATGCCAGGCATTCACCTCAGAAGAGATGCAACAGGAACATAGATCAGCCACCACCAAGGCCGCCTCACTTGGCGAGGAGCTGCACTCAGAAGAACTGAGAGAAGATCCAGGTATTGGCCTTTCCTTTCCACTGAGCTTCACCTGAGTCACCTTAAGGCCATGAGAGGGTTGTAATAGGGAATGATCCAAGCTCTTTGCAGAGATGGCAATGGTGTTTAATTCTTGGTTAGTAATCCATAGTAAAGGGACGCGCTGGCTCAGTGGCTAAGACACTGAGTTTGTCGATCAGAAAGGTTGGCAGTTCGGTGGTTCGAATCCCTAGTGCCGCGTAACGGAGTGAGCTCCCGTTACTTGTCCCAGCTTCTGCCAACCTAGCAGTTTGAAAGCATGTAAAAATACAAGTAGAATAATAAGGACCACCTTTGGTGGGAAGGTAATAGTGTTCCGTGCGCCTTCGGCATTTAATCATGCCAGCCACATGACCACAGAGACGTCTTCAGACAGTGCTGGCTCTTTGGCTTTGAAACTGAGATGAACACTGCCCCCTAGAGTCGGGAATGACTAGAACATATGTGCAAGGGGAACCTTTACCTTTTAATCAATAATAAAACAACTTCAGCTGATTTAAGAACACCATTAAACCATCAATACTTGGGGGGGAAAGGGGGGGAAAGGGAATTTAAAGAAACTTAATTGATGTTAGGATCTAGTAGTGACCTGAAAGGGGAACTGCATTTGGCTCTGCAATTTGTAATAAAGAAGGTTAGATCCGATTTGGATTAAATATAATAAAGAAATTTGCATCCTTGGCCTTATGAGCCTTGGTGGCGCAGTGGTTAGAGTGCAGTACTGCAGGTTACTTCTGCTGACTGCCGGCTGCCTGCAGTTTGGGGTTTCAAATCTCACCAGGCTCAAGGTTGACTCAGCCTTCCATCCTTCCGAGGTGAGTAAAATGAGGACCCAAATTGTTGGGGGAAATATGCTGACTCTGTAAAACCGCTTAGAGAGGGCTGTAAAGCACTGCAAAGCGGTATATAAGTCTAAGTGCTCTTGCTAGTGCTACAAGCACATGACTAGACTCTGCATTCATTTCATGTGCTTGTAAGACGAAGGATGGTGTATAGCTTCGAACCATTATCAAGCTGGTAATCTTTTAAATTCCATGTTATTGCTGATGGTTTTTATGTGCTGAAGTTGTTTTATTATTAAGACAATGGGAATTATTTCAACATGCCCTCTTTAGAATAAGGCTTCATACAAGCATGCAGGTATGTGAATGAAGGCATCATGCTTTCCCGGAGAATTTATTTATAAAATAATTTTCCTTGCATGACACTAGATATGATTTGCCGGTTGCAACCAAGGTGTAGAATTTTAGAGTTGGGATACTCATTAGAGGTTTCTTGGAGTTATTTCTGCTCGGCAGAAATGATCACATGGATAATATAGACAGGAACTTCTCATCACTGTCTCAAGGGCTGAACAAGGACAACTGATGGGATCAAATCAGTGGTAAAATCCTCCTGGTTTGGTCCGGTTTGGCTGAACCGGCAGGGATGATTGGCATCAGTTCTCCGAACCGTCAAAAATCCCTGGTGGCCCTGCCCACGCCTGCCTGGTCGTCCTGTCGCCACTCACCTCTTCTGGTTGCTCGACCTGCCCACCCAATCTGAACATTTCTCCCTCCGTTCACAGCAGAGCTGCTGCAGCCTGTCCCTTTAAGGTAGACCCAAGGAGAGAGGGGTCAGGGGAATCATAAAGGGACCAGCAGCTTTGCTGTGAACAGAGGGAAAAACGTTTGGATTGTCTCTGCCACAGAATTCAATGTTAAATGCAGCAGAGACAATCCAAACGTTTTTCTCTCTGTTCCCAGCAGAACTGCTGCAGCCTGCCCCTTTAAGATAGTCCCCAGGAGGGCGGACCATAAAGGGAGCAGCAACTCCACTGTGAATGGGCTCATGCACACATTTTTCCTACCAGGTTCTATGGGCGTGGCTTGGTGTTGGCAGGGGCATGTGACTGAGTGGGCGTGGCCATGAATGGCATCGAGTTGGCCATACCCACAGAACCGGTAGTAAAAACAAATTGAATTTCACCACTGAATCAAGTCCCAAGCTTGTTTAAACAAAGGTGGTGATTGGTTGAATCAACAGTTTTAAATCGAAACGTCTGCCCTAGTTAGTCCATTTGCCAAATCAAGGGAAGATTGCTAAAATAGGGAAGAATCATCTGTTGATATCTCAGTGTGGAAATTAAACTTGCCATCTCCTTGCAGATTAGGCACAAATCTTCAGCCCTGTATTTTCTACTAGGATTTGTGACCTTCTAGGTCAGAGGTGGGGAATGATGGCCGCTTTATGACTTGTGGACTTCAACTCCCAGAATTCCTCCCAGAGGAATTCTGGGAGTTGAAGTTTACAAGTCATAAAAGGGCCATTGTTCCCCACTCCTGTTCTAGGTAGTGCTACACCAGGGGTGCCAAACTCACGTTGGATGTGTCACGCACTTGCCATGGCCACCCCAGTTTAGCCAATAGGAAAGAAGTCACAATACGTCGCGTGACGACAACGAGTTTGACACTCCTAGAGCTAAACTAGAGCTTTTGACACCCCAAAAGCTAAATTATCAACCCCTATGCTAAACTATCAAGCTCTGTCTGTGTAATTCATTGATTAGTCAGATGCTATCTTGTTTATGTATACAGTATTGTGTTTTAATGTTGTTATTTGTTGGATATTGTGAGCCACCCACAGACAATCTGGAGTTGGGTGATGCCAAAATCTAATAATATAAATAATTAAGTAATGAATGGCCAGAATTCCAGGTGCCTTAGGATTGGTCAGACTTGCAATTCAAATTGCATGTGGATTTTTTTCATGCTTTTCTGGCAGATTAAGGAGTATAAAAATATCTCCAGTAACTGGAGGTTTCAGGTGTAGTTGCCCATCTATATGACTGATGAATAATTCTTTCAATAGCTACATAAAACTTTCTTTTAAAATATCCACCAGCGTGAAAAAAATGTATGCTGAGTTATTTCTTTTCAACTATTTGCCACCTAAAAGTAGTAATCCTGTTGAGCTTTTTCCCCTAAAAGGTAATGTTAAGAAATATAACCATAAATATAAATATTGAAAAGGACAGTCTTTCAACCACTGAATGACATGGAGGAATAAACCAGGGTTGGCAATAAGTTTTACCATCGGAAGTGTCATATTTATTTAAGTACTTGTAATATGTAAAGTTTTGCCATTAAAGTCCCTACTTTTAAGCAGCCTACAATAAAAGAAAGAAAAGAAAAATTGATTTAAAATCAAATAAAGAACAAAGCGGCTTTTAAAAAAAAATTAAAGCAAAGTCAACAGAAGAGACCAGCGTGGCAAATCCAAGTAAAAGTACACGAAACAAGGTTCATAATAACTCTCAGAAAAGTAAATATGCTGAAATTTGGAAATCTGGCTTCAGAAGGAGGATTTTATAGCAATGACCCAGAGAAGCAGCAAAGGAGAATGAAAGGAAAAGAGATTGGACTATGGTATCAAATCACTGATCTGAAAGATCCTTTCTGCATGAACTTCTACTTTATATTTTAAAGATTTTTTTCAAAAGAAAAGGTGAACTTTTCAACTTTCTGAAAAAAAGGGGTTGCTGGGTAAATTCTCAGAACCTTAGCAGATTGTCTTCAAAACCTACATTTTTCTTCTGATTAGCAGGCAGAGCAAACCAATGAAATCACTCTGTTCGCCTTAAAGACTGTGATATTGGGTACCAAAAAGGATCGTTTCCTGCTTGATTGATCAGGTTTACATTGAATTGTGTTGGTGAAAGATTTCCACTACCTTGACATTTCTCTTTCCTTGTCAACTCTGTGTCAATACATTGAGTTATTTACTTCACGTTTTTTCTTTAAAAATTATTATTTTTATCTATTTCTGCACTCCCTTGTCATTTATCTTTAGCAACATTCCATAAAGTTGTTTCCTAAGACAACTAAATATTTCTGGACAATGTCTATGGTGACTCTGAGTCATCCAGATCGTGGCTATCCCAAAGGTGCGTTTTTAAGAGGCAACTGGACTTTCTGTTTTTTTCTTTGAAGACGTTTCGCTACTCATCCAAGAAGCTTCTTCAGCTCTGAACTAGAATGGAAGGATTTATTTCTGGGGCATGAGGGCTGGCAGCTTGATAGCATACAAGGAAAGCCCTTTCCCCCTTCCCTAGCGACTTTGTCTTCGGTGGGATGGAAGAAAGAAAGGAAGAAAGAAGGGAATCATTTCTTGTACAATGTAAATTGTAAGCCTGGACTTCAAGGGTGAAATTAATTTCAATGAAATTCATCACTACAAGTTGGAAAGCATCTTAAGAATTTCTTTATGTTTCATTGAAGGGATGGAAATAGCAATAAGTGTAAGAGAGGATGATGGGGGACACTGGAACTTGATGTTGTTAATCATAATTGGAATCCTTTCTCGTTTGAAGCCTTTCTAAAATAGACAGAAAAGCTAAACACTGAGTATCAAATACTGTATTTTGTATAAGTGTTGTCCCATTAGATCACACAGATTAGGCCTCCTCCGGGTTCCGTCTACTAGCCAATGTCATCTGGCCACTACCCG